GATGGGCGGCCTGCGCGCGGACGCTCCGACGCGCCCGCGGCGTCCGGGGCGACCTGCGACCTCTGCTGGCGAACGGCGCCGCCAGAGGCCGAGAGGCGGCGGCGGCGGCGTGGCGCTGCCGTTCGCCTGCCTTCGACGCCGCCCGCGGGTGAGGCTGCGAGCGAAGGCGACCGAAGGGAGGGAGAGGAAGCGACGCCGCTCCCGTGTCCACAAAGGGAGGGGGGCGAGGGGGAGGGGAAGGGGGGCGTTGTTAAAGAGGGCGTAGGACTCTTAAAAAGAAGAGTTGTACAAAGATTATCCGCTGCTACTTTTCTCTCCTTCCTTGGTTTCTCTCTTTCTCTTTTCGCCTCCCCCCTTCCTTCTCTCCCTCCCCCGCCCCCTTTCCTCTCCCTTCTCCCTCTCCTCCCGTGACCCGCTTCGTGATGCTGGCCTCTCCCGCTGCACAATAAACTCCTTCAGGATTCCACGGCCAGGGATCCTCCTCCTCCTCCTCCTCCTCTCTTTCCTCTACTTCTTTCTTCTTCTTCCTCCTCGTCTCCCTCTTCCCCTCTCTCCTACGTCATCCTTAAGGAGATCTTGCGAGGAAATTTGCTATTGCAAAAACGAACTCAAACTGTTTTCCCACACCTGTCTGCAGGCACGCAAGCACGCACGCACATACACACTCACGCACGCACTCTCGGTATACTGTTTGTGCAAGAAGTTGTTCCTCGTGTTCAGTCGCGAACTTTGTTACATTTTGCAACTGTTCGTCTCAGATTTTCGCGATTTTTGCGCCGCTGCGTCGAGGCTCGAGGCTCGAGGCGCGCGTTAGCCGGCGCGCCGCGTGTGACGCGCGGCGGGCAGGCGCGCCCGCGTGTACATGTGTGTGCATGTATACATACATATGTATATATATATGAGTGTGTATATATATATATATATATATATATATATATATATATATATATATATATATATATATATATTATATACATGCATATGAGTTCCTGGTGCCGTGAGACACTATCGCTCGCGGCATCGCGGCGCCCGACCTCCGCGCCCATAAATCCCCTTCTTGCCCCGCGTTCCCCGCCGATAAGACCGGCCCAAAAACCCTGGAAAAAAAATCCTCAAAAACTGCAAAAATCCTGAAAACGATTCTGAAAAGACTTAAATAGCTCTGCAGAGAAAATTTAAGTAAACTCTCAGTAAAAGCCTTACAGATAACATCCAATAAACTTAAAAAGCCAAAAAAAAAAAAAAAAAAATCCTTAAAAATTCCTTTAAAAAGCCTTCATCTCCGCTCGACGCGCAAGAAGCCCCGCGCGAGGTTGCCATGCGCCCCGAGGGAGCAGGAGCGCGTGCGCGCCGCTTTGTTGCCGGAGATTTAAACGCTAAAAACGGGCGAGTGACGCAGATGGTCTTCGGCGGGAGAGGGAGAGAGGGAGATGCAGAGGGCGAGGGAGTGAGGGAGAGGGCGAGGGAGAGAGGGAGAGGGAGGGAGGAAGGGGTAGCCGAGGCACAGGGAGAGGAATGAAGGAGAGGGAGAGAGAAGAAAGGAGAGGAGCGAAAGGAGAGCCTCCCCCCGGCGGAGGAGGCCGAGCGAGGGGAAGCGAGGCGAGCGAGCCCAGGAGGCGGAGGTGTGAGGCGAGCGAGCAGGAGGCGGAGAGGCGAGCAGCACACACGCCAAGCGAAGCCAAGCGAAGCCGAACGAACGTCGAAGGCCGCGTTCGCTCGGGTGACATCCGCCGCCGAGCGAACGAATTAGCGAACGCCGGAGATGAATGGGTTACGTGAGAAGGCGGCGATCGGCTGCTTGTGCGAGATAAAGGAGGAGAAGAAGGAGGAGGCAGAAGAGAAGAGAAGGAGGATCTGATAACAGGGGTCGGAATGAACGCCCGGGAGAGCGAGGCGGGCGGGCGGGCGGGAGACGTCACAATTTATGTTCTTTTTACGGGATATTCAATTTCGATTCGACGACGCCGCACAAAAGGCGACTTCGCGTGATGTAAATCAGTAAATGAAGGTCGTGGAGGCGTGCGTGCGCGCCCCGACGCCCCTCCCGACGCACGCCGTCAGTGGGCGCCGATGAATGGGCCTCGAAAACGGACTTGGAAATGGCGCCGTAATGAGCAGAAGGACGCGATCCCGCCCGGCCACGTCACGCTCGCACTGGCCGGACTCGCGACGGAGGGGCAGGGGGAGGAGGGGGAGGGGGGGTCGGCAGGGGATTACCCAGGCAATGCCGATGTTTGTAGCACTGCATCTTCCCTGCCAGGCCGCCCCCACGCCCTTGTCTACCCTGCTTTCCCGCCACCTCATCAGGCCACATCTCTTTCGCTCCTCCCTTTGTGATCGGGCCTCGCTCTTTTTCCCCTTTCATTTTTTGTCTCTTTCTATTCACTTTCGTACCTTGCATTGGTGGCGAGTTCTTTCTCTCTATAGCCCTTTGTTGTCCAACCCCCTCCCCCCTTCTCCCCACCCCTCCCCGCCTTCTCTTCCCTCCCCCGCACCCACACGCTCTCTGGCACCATTATGTCGACTCTCTCTCTCTCTCTCTCTCTCTCTCTCTCTCTCTCTCTCTCTCTCTCTCTCTCTCTCTCTCTCCTCTCTCTCTCTCTCTCTCTCTCTCTCTCTCTCACTCTCTCACTCTCTCACTCTCTCTCCACCTACCTACCTACCTATTCATCTATCTATCTCTCCATCTACCACTTCTTATGACAGCGACCTCGCTAGGTTCCCGGAGGTCGCTTAAGACGAAGGGGGAGAAGGAAGGGAGAGGAGGAGGAGGAAGGAGAAGGAGGAGAGAGGAGAAGGAGAGGGGGGGATAGGTGGGAGGGAGGGTAAAGATGAGGAATTACAAGCAATGGGAGGGGGAAGGAGGAAGGGGGGTAGGGGATGGCGGAGGAGGGAGGAAGGGCGAGGGAAGGAGGGTCATGGAGGAGAGTGGGGAAAGGGTGAAGGGGGAGGAAGGGAGAAGGGTGGTGAGGGGGGAAAGGGTGAAGGGAGAAGGGAGAAGAGAGGGTGGGTGAGGGGGAGAAAGAAAGGGTGAAGGGGGTGAGCATCTAACGGGTGTCAGAACTTGACTTCAAAAAAGGTTGAATCTGAGGAGTTGACGTTGACTTCTGCGGTCGCGCCTTGTAGCAACGTGAGGCAGCTGGACCGTGTCGCGCTCCAGCCGCACGCTTCTTCTGGAAGGGAGAGAGAGAGGGAGGGAAGTGGAGAGAGGAAGAGGGAGAGGAGAGGAGGGGAAGATGGAGGGAAGTGGAGAGAGGAAGAGGAGAAATACAGACAAATGGGAGTATTAAACAGAAGTGGAGGAGGTACGGAAAAGGGCAACTCCTGGAGGAGACTCACGTCGGGATTACAGAGGGAAGGATGAAGGAACAGACGGATTAGAAGAGACGGCCGAAAAGAGGAGATAGATATGAAGATAAAGGAGAGGGAAAAGAGGAGAGAGAGATAGATAAAGAGGAGAGAGAGAGATAAGAGAGACAGACAGACAGACAGACGAACCGTGACGCGCCTCCAGCCTTGAGCGCCCCCGCCCCGCGCCCCGCCTGCGCTCCTCGGCGATCGGATCGAACCGGCGCTCCTTCCCGGACAGCGTAGCAGCGTAATCCGGTAGTTAAACGGCGATACAGTTAGCGCAGCGAGTAAACAGAGGGAGAAAAAGAGGGAGGGCGAGCACGAGCGAACGAGCGAGTGTTGGAGAAGAAACGGCGCGGCAGATCTCGGCGCCGCTCCAGCATCACGTAACGACGCGCAAAAACGCTCCTTCCTCCTTCTTATTCTCCTCCTCCTCTTCCTCCTCCTCTCTTCTTCCACCTTATTCTCCTCCTCTTCTTCCACCTCCTATTTCTCCTCCTCCTCCTTCTTATTCTCCTCCTCTTCTTCCTCCTTCTACACCTCTTCCATCTCCTCTTTCTCTACCTCATCTTCCTCCTCCTCCTCTACTTCCTCCTGTACCTCGTCTCCTCTCTCCCTCCTCTCCCTTTTCCTCCTCCTCCTCCTCCTCTTTCCCTCATGCACCGGATTACTGCGGACTCAAATTAATATAAAACAAACAAAAAGAAACAAAACAAAAAAAAGCAATAATCTTAAAAACCTCAAAACAAAAGATCGGCCGAACGTGTCCAGGTTTCCCGTTGGCCTTTGGGGGGAGGGGGGAGGGGGGAGGGGGGAAGAGGAGGACGAGGAGGATTTAGGAGGAGGATTAGGAGGAAGAGGTGAAGGTGGACAAGGAGGAGGAGGAGAGGAGGAGGCTGACGTGGAAAGGAGGAGAAGGAGGAAGAGGGGAAGTGAATTAGAGAAAAAAGGGGAGAAGAGAAGCAGAACGGAGAAAGCAGGAGAAGCAGAAGGATAATTAAGAATAATTAAGATGGAAAATGGGAAGAAAATAAGAATAACAGTGACGGAGAGTAAAAGAAACTAAGCAAGAAATATGAAGTTAATTCCCCGAGACCTTGAAGTCAGAGCGAGGGGCCGGGAGGGGGTAGGGGGGGAGGGGGCTGATCTCATAGGTCTTAGAGCCAAAAGCAAAACAAGGAAACAAACAAACGAATGATAATGGCTTCTTTGTGGCATGGTTAGCGGCTGAGATGCTCTGCCTCTTGACTTTTATCATCATTATCCTTATTATCATCATTATTCACATTCTGTGTTTTATCTTCATGATTGTGCATGATGGCTTTGTCTTTTTTTTAATTCTTTGTTACTGATTTTGCGAATGAAACCTCTATGTGCTCGTAAAGGGCTCGTTCTGAACAGTTGCCGTTCAAAAATGAAAGAAATCATATTTCTTTTTAAGGTCATGTACGATTTTTATCAATTTTTTCGTCTTTTTGTTGTTTTTTTTTCCCGTTTTGTCTTTGTTTCCGTTGTTCTTTTAATGTGTCATTTGTACGATTGTCTTTGGTTTATGCGCATTCAAAAATAATGAAAATAAAAAGGTAACCAATGAGCATTCGAGGTTGAACACTTTTTTTACAGCCATGTTGTCTCTCTCTCCCTCTCAGATCGCGCCACTGGCCACCACGACGAAGGTATGAACATGACTCTTGAGTACGTTTCTAATTACTAATAACTTTAGTGGGATTTTGAGCTTTGGTGCTGAATTAATCCGAGACTAACACGCTGATCGCGGCAGGGAGGGAGAGGAAGGGAGAGTGAGAGAGGGAGAGGTTGTGTGTGTGAGAGTAAGGGGAGAGAATGAAGGAAAAGGAGTGAGAGAGAGAGGAAGGGATGTGAGGCAGAGAGACAGAGAGAGAGAGAGAGAGAGAGAGAGAGAGAAGAGAGAGAGAGAGAGAGAGAGAGAGAGAGAGAGAGAGAGAGAGAGAGAGAGAGAGAGAGAGAGAGAACAGTTATTTGACTCAACATTCTGGCAAGTAACTCCGACACACTTCGCATCACCTCGAAGATGCTCGGCTAAACTCTGCGGGCGGCAAACCCCACTCCTCTCGCTCCTCCTCCACCTCTCCCTTTGTCAGATCTCTCAAGGAAGACCATATTTGGAAAGGGAAAAAATCTCATCGACTTTATATAATCCCCGGCAAACACTAGAGTGCATTTGCTGCGTCCAGGAACAGCATAATCATTTTCGCAATGGATGGGCGGCAAACCCTCGACTTAGTTCCCGGCGTCGCCAGAGCCATCTCGCGGCCGCTCTCGGAAACAGCGCAACGAGCGAGTGAATTATGCCTCGACCCCCAAGCTAATCTTTTTATTAATTGTATTAAATAGATTTCGCGGGTTCCCTGTGGCAGCGAGGGTTCAAAAGATATCGAACCCCGGTGAAACACTGTCAGAAATGGAGAGTCATCTACCCGCAGCGCTGTCGAATGGCGAATTTTCCGAAGTTTAAATTTCCCATGAGAGGCTTCCTGTTTTTAAACAAACGGTATTGTGTACCAAACGCCACCGTGGAGAAAAAGGAAGAGAGGAGAAATTGGCATCCCTTTTCACGCGCTTACCGTAGCTAAAGGAAATTAAAATTAAGATAAAAATAAACATCCTTCTGCACACATACACCAACGCGCATACACTTACATACGTGAACGCACATACGAAAAAGAACACACACATACCCGAACACTTACATATCCCGTGCCTTGATGAGCAAGAGGAGAAGAATGTGCAAAATACGCGAGAAGCAAACCGTCGACTTTGTGACTGTCTCGGCGGCGGCCTTCGCGGGTGTCGTACTCTCGACTTCCTTGGCGGGAAAGAAGAGGAAATTTCGGCCTAATGCTCTTGGCTTTTACGAAGGGAAAAAGGAAGGAATTTCCTTGGAGGAAAGCGAAGGATGCAGAGAGGCAGACGTAGCAACAAAGACGAGGAGAAACGCGGGAACGCAGCGACGCAGAGTGACGCAGGGGAACGCACGAGAACGCCAGTGGGTGTTTTGTCTTTTTTATTCTCTGTTAATCTGTTCGTATTTAACACTGTCTCCCGCGCTGCTTGTTGCACTTGATCGGACCGCTCGAAAGGACGGGGAATTTTCGATATTTGCAGAGTCATTGTGGTTTTATTGAATATTCTAATCTCCTCTTGCTCTTCGTCTCTCTCTCTCTCTCTCTCTCTCTCTCTCTCTCTCTCTCTCTCTCTCTCTCTCTCTCTCTCTCTCTCTCTCTCCTCTCCTCCCTCCCTCCCTCTCTCTCTCTCCCTCTCTGTCTACCCTTACTGCATTCTTTCATTCTCGTTTTCTCTCTCTTCCTCCCATTCTCCCTCCCTCGCTCTCCTCCCTCTCCCTTCCTCGGATATGTATCGTCGACTTCGCCCTAATAAGCGCACAAGCCAGGTGTGTTCCCTCCCTCCCCCCGCCCTCACCCCTCCCCCTCCACGCCCTTCCTCCCACACCTTTCCCCTCCCCCTCCCCCCACCCCTCTCCAAGCGAGTGATGGCTGTTGGGTTGGTTCTCTGTTGCATCACTCTGACACAAGCACAGATAAAGCTGCCTTTGCAACCTGTATCCCACCCCTCCTCCCTCCCTCTCTCCCTCCCCTCCAACCCCCACTGAGTTCCTAGCCCTTCCCCGCCGCCCCCTTCCTCCCCACCCGCCCCTCGCTCTCCGCCTCGGCATCCACGCCCTCCCGCCCTTTCTCCCTTCCCCCCCCTCCCCCCCCCCTCCCTCCCTCCCTCCCCTTTTCTCTCTGTAATTCTCGTCCATTTTCTTTTTCTCTTCTACTTCTTTTTCGAAATATATTTTCTCTCACTTTTATCTTTTTTATGATTTATTGTCCTTATTCTTCTTGTTTTTTCTTTCCTCATTTTTATCTTTTATTTTTTTCGTCTTTCTCTTTCCCATTTTGACCGAGGTGATCTAGAGGTTCAGTTGCCGCTGTTCCCGCTGCCTCCTAAATCTGCTCTCTCCTCTCTCTCTCTCTCTCTCTCTCTCTCTCTCTCTCTCTCTCTCTCTCTCTCTCTCTCCTCTCTCTCTCTCTCTCTCTCTCTCTCTCTCTCTCTCTCTCTCTTCTCCGCCGCCCTTCGTTCCTCCCGCGGTTCCTGGCGGCGAGGCTCTGGCACCTTCTCGCTTTCTCTCCTCCTCCATCTCTCCTCTCTCTCCGCCCTCCTCTCATCGCTCCTCCGCCTCCTCCTCTTCCTCTCGCCTCCTTTCTCTCTCCTCTCTCCCCGCCGCCTCGTCCAGGGTGTACAGTTACATGGAAATTAAATGGACAAGAACTATACATGCAGCCTGCAGCCTCCCTCACCCCCCACCCCCTCCCTCACCCCCCCCCCGCGCCGGCCGTGTGGGGGCCCCACTTTTGTAAAAGCGCGAGTCAACGACACTGCTCGTCTCACCGGGTACACACGCGTACACACCACACAAACACACTCACACGCACACAAACACTTACACACACGCGGACGAACATACACAAACACACGCACACGCGGACGAACATACACAAACACACACTCACACACGCGTCTACACATGCGCAAACATACTCACACGCGGACGCACATCGCACACAAACATACACACACGCGTCCACGCATACGCAAACATACTCGCACACGCGGACGCACGCACACGCTCGCTCCTGTTTGTCCTACATACACTCTCCCCGCGGACGCCGGCGAGCGCGGACACGCACGCGGAAGCGCATTAGCACGGAATAAACCCACGCATGAAATGATATGGAAATGATATGCATCCTGACCCGTTCGCGCGCACTTAGAAGGCGCAGAGGCGAGCGTCGAAGGGCCGTGACGTCACCCACATAGGCGCATGGCGTGGCCCTCATGACACCTCTCGGCCAGAACGCCCTGCTATGGGCCCTCGAGGCGGACGCGGCTATAGAGGTCACTTTGCTGGGCGTTGGCAGGTGTGCTTGGCCTCTGCGGTCGCCAGGGACACTCGCGCGCGCGGCGGGGGAGGAGGGGGGGAGGGGGAAGGGGGGTGCGCGAATCGGGCCGACTTGACAAGGTTGTCCGTTCTGCAAGCCTGTGCAAGTCGCGAGCCGCTGCGATGCGTCGTGGCTTGTTTCCGGGTGCGGGCGCTTGTGTACGCACGCGTTTGTGGGGCGGTGTGCGTGTCGGCGTGTCGTTGCGGGCGTCGGGAAGCCTCACGCACACGCACGCACACGCACTCACGTCTACTTCCTTCCCTTCCTTTGCCCTTTCTTTCCCCTACCTCCCTCTCCTCCTCTCATTCCTCCTCCTCACCCTATATTTATTCCCATTCTCTTTCCCCCTCTCCCTCTACCTCCTCCTCTAAATTTCCTCTCCCATACTTCCCTCTCCTCTTTTCCCCCTCCTTCCAACCTCCCTCTCCCTCCTCCCCCCTCTCCCTCCTCTCATCGACAGTTACCTACGTGTGACGTAACCCCACCCCCCACCCCCACCCCCATCCCCTATCCTTTTATCTATCTATCTATCTATCTCTATCTCAACACACACAACACACACTCAGGCACGCACACACACACACTGAACTACACACAGACACGCACACCGACACACAACACGCACACGTACACGCACACGGAGGCGCCAAATGACCATAAGTGATGCTGCTGTGACCACAAGCTGACAGATCGGACAGTGTCAGCCTCGGCCTCCACCCTCTCTTCCCTCTTCCTCTCTTCCCATTCTATCATTTTTTCTATCACATTTGTCTTTTTTCTCCTTTTTCCTTCTTCTCTCCTCCTCACTTCTCTGTTCCTTTATTCCCTCCTCTTCTCTTTTCCTCTTTTATTCCTTCCTCTCCCCTTTTTTTCTTTTCTTTTTTCATTTCTTCCTCTCCTCTCTCCCCTCTTTTATCCCCCCCCCTTCTTCTTCCCCGAACCCTTCCCTCCCCCATTACGTAGCAGCCTCGGCGTTCCTCCCGCACCTCGCTATGTTATTTAACGAAAACGCGTGAGGAGGGGAGGGGGAGGGGGGAGAGGGGGGGAGGGGGGAAGGGGGAGGGGAGGGGAGGGGAGGCGCAACCTTCGCGGTCGTGCGGTGTGGCGTCATCGAGGGAGAGGGAGAAGAGAGGAGAAGAGATAGGTAGATAGATAGAGGAACAGAGAGACAGAGAGATAAACAAGCAGGATACAGATACACACATACACGTATCATTCAGAATTTTTACCACCCACTTGTTGTACACCAAGTAGACTCTCTGTCTCTCTCTCTCTCTCTCTCTCTCTCTCTCTCTCTCTCTTTCTCTCTCTCTCTCTCTCTCTCTCTCTCTCTCTCTCTCTCTCTCTCTCTCTCTCTCTCTCTCTCTCTCTCTCTCTCTCTCTCTCTCTCTCTCTCTCTCTCTTCTCTCTCTCCCTCTCCTCTCCTCTTCCTCCTCCTCTTCTTCCCTCTCCCTCTTCCTCTCCTCTTTCTCCTTCTCCGTCCTTCCCCCTCCCCCCCCCCCTCCTGCTCCTACATTCCCTGTCACGCCAGATGTCACGACGAGAGGAAAGTTTGTGTCTCTGCGAAGGTAAAATCTCTTCTGTTTTGAGATGAGATTCAAGACCCACTTGTCTCGTTTATTTGTTTTCCTTGTTTCGACTCTCGTTCGTGTTTCTACTCCGGTTTTTCTCTGCTTTTCTTTTTTTTTCTCTCT